TTTTTAAAAGATATTTGAGCTTAAATAATAATCTAAAACATACAAATAAAAGAATACGGAAGCATGGAAACAAGAATCATAGCATACAAGCATCAAAGAGGGCAAATTGGACATTATGCAAAATGCATTGTTTACTCCAATGCATGCGTCATCTGTTATGGTGGATGGCATAGAAGTGAAAGTTCTCTCACTGTGTAACGTGCCACGGTGCACTTTTACTGATAAGGGACTTAGAAGCAGAATCAGGCTAGTTTAGGAACAAAACCCTGAAACACAACAAAAATACAAGAACAAAAAGGAGGAGATGAAATTTATGAAGAAAACAAAGAAATAAATGAAAACCAAAAGGATAATGATCAAGGATAAGATCCTCTAAAGCACTTGCATCTAGAAACCTCAACCTTCAAAGACACCACAATAGTTGATCAAATTCTTGATCACGTACGTTTCTTGTAAGGAATGTCACCATAAAGTACTAAAGCTTACAAGAGTTATAAATTTTAAAATGAATAATTTAATTCAACTTCTCTTCCTCTTTATAAAAGGGAGCACGCCTAATATATATGCTAACAAAAAAGACTATTTTCTAAAATTAAAACCCTAATTTTCTAATACTAAAAAGAGAAATGAAAATAATATAAAATAAGGGAGAAAATATTCAGCCACATAATTTAAGAGATGTGATCCTAAAATTATGGAATTACAAAACTTGAAAAATAATATAGTTAATCTTAATCTTTGACTAGACTTAAAATAGAAAACTATAATTAGCCTTGCTTCTTAAAAAAAGGAAATCAAGTTAAAAGATCACTAAATTAGAAAGCAATTGAAGATTCTAAGGGACTCAAAACGCCTCCCATGAGCTCTTCACTAAGATTTCATGCTTCCTTTCTTGTAAGAGGCTCCACTTGTAGTATTCCTTGTATTTGACTAGTGTTTGCACCTCTTGGGCTTGACTCTTCATGGATTTGAATCTTAAACATATTATACGTGCCTAGATGCTTTCCTTTAGGCTTAAGAGGCATGCCCCAATGCTATCCAAGCTCTTGGACTGCTTGCATAAGATTGAACAAGGCTTGCTTTATGGTTTTAGTTCGATCTCTTATTATTGGGCCTCTAATAAATTGCAAAGGGTCCTTGGGTATATTATATTGGAAGTATTGGGCTCTTTGGTCCTTGCCTTGGGCTCTTTTCATACCACCATTCTCATAATTGCCATCCTCAAGCTCTCCAAGATTGCTTGTCATGTCATTAGTGCCATAAGGTCCATCACCTGCTGTTATGAAAGCACAATGGGACCAATTTTTAGAGAGTGCATATTTATCATTTAACATTCGATTTGAGTGATTCAAGTATCTATATGTTAATTTTTGAGTCACTTATCTATTGGCACTAGTTTCACTACAAAATTTACCATTAAAAAGTTGAACAATCGAGCATAAAATGAATCTTTTTCCTTTCAAAAGTCACCTAAGAGTGTCTAAACCCCTAAACTAAATGCTAATAGAATAGGATCACTTAAACTAAATCATTTGGACCATAAGGCACCTAATGGAATATTCATATACCAATATATGCATTACAAATACAAATTGGCCTTCAAAACCTCGATTCCCACATTAATCAAGGGACAAAGGCATAAACTAACACAACCATATAGCAACTATTCATACACATTCATTGATCATAATAATGACACTTGCACTAGTATTTTGGTATCTTACCACAATTACAATATTCTAGGCTAAAATACAACAAAACATAACTTCGTGCAAGTGACCTAAAAAAAAACAATGCATTGTCCTTAGTATATATATATATATATATATATAAAGTTACACAAATTACCAAAAGAATATAGAGTTATACTATTACAAGCTCTTCAATTTATGGTAGTGTTCTTCTTTCCTTTGTCCTTGTCAAAGCTTTCACCTATAAAAATATAACCACGGGGGTGAGACGATATTTTAGTAACCAAATAATCTAATTTATTCATAAGTATACTAGATTAGCATATGAGGGTGTGAAGTGGCAACATAAAACAATTTTATCGGATACATATCATGCATATGATTATCATATCTCATTCATACAATGCATGATCAATACTCTCCACCTTATATCCTCCTTATTTCCTCTGACTAAATCTATAGGCTAACAACATAATAGGACCAAGTTCATATGACTAGATTGGCATAAGCTTATTAATCATGGGAGGCAGCCTTGACCATAGATGCCTTATCCTAATTTTAGACTATAGATTCTCTATTTCTCAAATATTCGGGTGTTATATGCCCAATCTATCACCAAGATAGTACTGGAAACTTCCAAACAATAAATACTGAGCATTGGGGCCTCAACGGTGTCAATCTACTATATGAATTTCATACAATATACCCCTATAATACTAGGGTGAACTCTCACTCTTTCATAATGATTATGACCATACAATACCAATCATACAAATTGAATTCATTAAGGATGAACATGCAATGTTTTCTAGCATTTTAAACCTATATCTGATATTATAATTATTAATCAATGAGTATAAATAGGTTTTTAACATTGAAATAATACTATAGTTTAATATCATTTTACATTGATTTCCAAAACACTAAACATTCATGCTAGTTTTCACAACAGATCTCACACACACAACCCTTTTGTCACAAAAAAGATTACTATGACAAATTAGCAACTCCTCAAGAGTCCACTAGCTCTACAAAGCTCGATCAACATTTAATCTACAAGATTAAATATTAATAATCAATTTTCAACTCTAAATAACCCTTTTTAAGCCTAAACTTTGGGTAACCCATATATCCCAAATTCCAACTTTGTCAAATTCCATACTCCCAATATAACATTATCCTCATTTAGCATCGATAAACTTAAATAGCATCAAAACACAACCCACATTGCTCCTAATCTTTAGATTTTTGCTTAGGGTTCATCCAAATGCTAATTAGAAATCCCAAATCATCATAAAATCATCAATCCTAAGTTTAAAAATTTAACTTAACATCCCAAGAATCCAAAGAATACAATGGGCTCGGTTAGAGCCCAAGAGGGGACAAAATCAACCCTCACTCTACCCAAACCTATGGAAATTTGACATAGAAGGGAAGGGGAAAGGATAAGAACATTACCATTGAGTATTCGTAGCTTGGAATACTTTCAAATAGGTCCAAGAGTGAAACCCTAACTTAAAAAAGATCCTTCCCTATCACCTCTCTTGTCCTCTTTTCTCCCTTTCTCTATTTTCTGAGGGGTATGAATATTTGATATATTCAGATTTTTGCACATCTGGTAGTGCATGGTGTGTCCACTGTAGCTGATGGCATAGTGAGTCCAAGGTGAACTTTTGGCCTCATTTGATGTCTGGTCTGCTCAAACTTCAATCTAGTTCACCTTCAAGGCTGCCCAATGATCCTATAATCTCATTAGTTGTCCAAAAACATTATTAATTAATTAATTTCTCAAATTTATCAATTTACCCTTTTAACAATTTAGAATTCAAAATTTGAAATTGAAGATGTTACATTAGATCCTTCATACTCATAATTGATGAAATAGTTTAATGTGTTATATTATTTAATATACTTATGAATATTGAATCAATTTAGAATTCTTTGCAATAGATTTTTCTAGATTCTAAAGATTTGGTGGCATGTTTTCTTAGGTCATGCTTATTTGGATAGTGCTCCATCAATCCATTCCTTTCTTGAACCATGTATTTGAATGTTGATTTTGCTTATTGGATATTCAATTAATTTGTTTTTTCCTTTGATGCAATTAGGACTTTAAATTTCCTATGAATGAGAAATTTTATTAGCATCAATTAATAACCCTTAGTTGAAGTATTCACAGGAGAGTAAATGTTAGTTTATCTAATACCTAGATCCTATTTCTCATTTTTTTCTACTTCTTTCTTTTGCTTTGCCTTTGCCTTGCTTTGAGATGTTGGTTTCATATCATTCATACATTCCATCCAAATCTAGTGGTTTTATGGTAGATCTAGTTCTATATGGTGGTTCTATGATGGTGAAACAACGAGCATAAGTAGTATGGTGCATAAGTAGCATGGTGTTTTGCCGTCAAACAAAAAAGCATTGCACCAAAAAAAAAAGCTCAATGTATCTAGTTTTATGTTTTCTTCTCAGTGTTTTTTTTAGATCTCTCCCCACTCCTTTTTTAACCTTTTTCAAACCTCTATTATGTTTCATCTTCTTTATCTACTTCTCTCATCCTTTTCTTCTTCTTCTTCTTCTCAATCTGATTGTTTGAAGTTCGAACTAGTTGAATTGTCAGTTTTAACTGGTTTAATTAGTTCCTTAATGGTTTTTACTTCTCCCAATTTTAGCTTAATTTTGAACTAGACATGTGATTGATTCTTAAGTAGTTGGTTCGGGTTAGTTTTCATATAATTGGTTATACTTCTTTCAGTTTCTTTTTAATTTTTTTTATTATAAGAGAAACTATCCATGTTTTATTATAAACAAAATTACAAATTTCAAGATTAATTATATTTTTTAAATTAATTTTTATAAATAAATAATATCACTAAATTAAAGAAAAAATAAACGTTAGTCATGAGTACATTTTATTTAAACATCTCAATTTCATACTCCCTCTATTAAAACAAATATAAAGTATTTTTAAGAACTTAAATGTTTAAAAATATAAGACATTTTTAATCTTTTAAAGTGTAATTATTTTTTTAAATAATTTTATTGATAAACGACTTTATATTTATTATAAAGTATTTAATAAAAATAAATATAAAAAGATGTAATTATTTTAAAAGTAATTAATTATTTTATTAAAGTTAAATTTAATTAAAAATATTTTATATTTTTTAACGAGTGAGTATATAATTATTATGATTAAATAATCTTCCTCTTTTGGTCAAAAAAAAAAAAATAACCTTCCTCTTCTTACGTCGATTAAAATTCGGTTGAAAACGTAGGAGAATGTTTGATGAATGATAAAGTAGAACCCATGCGCAAAGTAGCAACAATTTTACTGGATTGCCACTTTCTCGCAACTTGTTTAGTTTAGACTCATTTCCAGTTCTTCCCGAGGTCCCGGGACAATGATTGCATTAATCCAATGAATGCATGAATTATTCTTCTCAGATACATCCCAAATCGAAATCCCAGTGCTAAGTTTCAGATCATCGACTTTGAAACTCCAATAGCCTACTCCTGTGACAGTTGTAGCTGAATCCAAACCGCACAGGGGCGCAAAAAATACCATAGATGGGTTGGGGAAGGGCAATGTATGAAGGAGGTGTGGTGCTGGGATCTCTTTGTTTACTCGGTTGGGCTGGTCTTTGGTTCTTGAACCGTCGTCTCTACAAAGAGTACGAAGAGAAACGCGCGCTGGTGCAGATCATTTTCAGCGTAGTATTCGCCTTCTCCTGCAATCTCCTCCAACTCGTCCTCTTCGAGATCATTCCCATCCTTTCCAAAGAGTAAGCTTTCCAAAGTCCACTTTTTGTCCCTTTTAGAATCTGCCCGTTTCATGAATTCTGAGATTTATGCTTCTTGTTCATCTCTAGGTTTACTTTCAAAGGATCAAATGTATGTTAAGTTGCCTTGAGGAAATGGCTTTAGCTAAATAGATGGTATTGGATGCAAATGCGTTGCGAGCGTGGGTTAGAGCGCTAATTTTCTTTTAGGCCTCATATATTTAGAAAACCATGGAGAACACAACCGATTACAATCCCTATTACCTCCAACTGGATTCACATTTGCCTCCAACTGGAAATCTTCTAATATGTTTATTTGTATTAATTCCGCTGTCGCATTTCATTGACGATGGAGCAATAGGAGATGGTTGTTGTAATTGTGTCATACTGCTCTAACTTTAAATTGCCTTTCATTTTTCCATTTATGCTGGTATTCCTTGCTCACCCATTAATTACCCTTAGATTTCTATTATCATGACCATAGATCTCCCGACATTTGCCTCGTTCAGGACACTACTGGTTGGAAATAATAGTGACAACCTTGTTTCTAGCCTCTGTAGATCTTGAAAGGCCAAAGTTAAGGCAATTCTCTAAACTAAGAATCATAAAAGAAGCCATCATTCCCTCAACCTACTTAAAACCTTACAAATTAAGGGAACTGCATACATTTGAATTAACCTTGCATAAACGTACTCTAAACGGTTTCAAACACCAAATGAAGTCCATCCTTCACTGTTTATCCTTTATTCCACACTTGTTGCTCCTCAGCATAGTTAGTTAACTTTCTATAGCTGGTCATATTGGCCGTGCTGTATAGGCTTGATTTGCTGAAAATGATATGTCACTATAAAATTTCCATGATCTAATGGAATTTGAATTTCTTCATGAATGTAGGGCTAGAGTCGTGAACTGGAAGGTGGACTTATTTTGTTTGATCTTATTACTGGTCTTCATGCTGCCCTATTATCATTGTTACTTGATGCTCTGCAACAGTGGTAAGCCAATCTTCACTTTCTTTACTAACATGTATGTAGCTTTTTCTTGTTTCTTCCCCTGATACTATGAAAGGTGGTTTGAATTCTCACCACCTGCGATACTTAGAAAAATAGAACTATTAAAAATATTGTTGATTGTTGATGGAACCCATCCAGGTTTTAGTTACATATTAAAAGAATCAATTCAACAATAACCATAACAATAACAATAACAAGCCTTATCCTAATAGATGAGGTTGGCTGCATAGATTGTACTACATCACTGTGCTCTATTATTTATTAAGCTTTTAGGAATGCTGTTAACTTAGAGGTCTCAATCAACAACTTTTATTAGTGTTCTTTTTGGCTTTATTTTGTGCCTCTTTATAGGGCTCAAAATTATCCATTTCACTCTCCTCACTGATGCCTCTCGCGGTCTTTTCTATACATGTCTAAACCTTTTTAAATAGTTTTCTATCATTTTTTTTCTCAATAGATACTTTGCCTACATTTTCTCGTATATGTTTATTTTGAATTTTATCTTTATGTGTATGCTCGCACACCATTTCAACATTTTCATCTTTGTTACTCTAACTTTTTGCTTTTACTATCTCTTTAAAGCCCAACATTTATTACTATATAATATAGCTGGTTTTATAATAGTTTGATAAAACTTTCCTTTGTTTATTAGGTTTCTTTTGATCACAAATAATTTTTTTAACCTTTCTCCAATTAAACTACCTAGCCTGTATCCTATGTGTAATATTTCTATATGTCGAACAATAGCTCCCAAATATTTAAATTTTTCCTCTTGAGATACAATCTGATATCTCATTTTTACTTTCAAATTACAATTGACTGACTTCTTGTCAAAATTACAATGCTAATATTCCATCTCACTCTTACTTAGGCAGAAGCCTATTGACTTCAATGTCCTTTATCATAGCTCAAATTTGCAGTTAATGTCTTATTTTATCTCTGTAATAAGAACGATATCATTTGCAAAAAGCATGCATTTGGAGATTTGCTCTTAAATATGCTTAGTCAAAACATTTAGGATCAAGTCAAACAAATAAAGATTCAAAAATGATCCCTGATATAGTTCAATTCTTATAAGAAATTCCTTTATTTCACCTCTAGACATTCTTATATTAGTTGTTGCCCCTCATATTCCAAATCAATGAAAATCATATATAAATCTTTATCTTTACATTGATACTTGTCCATGAATTTCTATAGTAAATAAATAACTTCTGTAGTCATCCTACTAGGCATGAAGTCAAATTGATTCTCAAAAATACTAGTCTCCAATCTCAATCTATACTCAATTACTCTTTCTCACATATTCATTGCATGACTCATAAATTTAATTTTTTTGTGGTTTGCACAATTCTAAATATCTCTTTTATTTTTGTAAACAAGAACTAAGGTGTTTCTCTTCCATTTGTCAGGCATTTTTTTGAGTTGTAAGATTTCATTAAATGACGTAGTAAGCGACTGCATCCCCTCTTTATCTAAATGTTTTCACACTTCAAAGGGATACAATTAGGTCCGTGCTCTACCATTTGCCATTTTTTTAAGAACATCCTTTACCTCATTATTGCGTATCCTTTGATAGAATGACAAATTTTATTCTCTTTCACGAGTTACTAAATTCTCCAAGTTATTAGACGAACTCTTTCTATCATTGAAAAGTTTGTAAAAGTAGGTCTTCCATTTGTCTTTAATATTATCATCCGTAATCAAAACTCTTTCTTCGTCATCCTTTATTCACCTTACCTGTTTTAGATCTCTCGATTTTCTTTCCATACTCTTGGCAATCTTATGAAATTTTTTTTCTCCATCCTTTGTCCTAAGGCCTTTGTAAAATTCTTCAAATGTTTTAGAATGAGCTTTAGTCATAGCTCTCTTAGTTTTCTTCTTAGCCATATGATACTTTTTTCAACTTTCATCATTATTGCACAAATGGATGGCTTTAAAACACCCATTCTTATGTTTGATTTTTTTCCTATACATTAGTATTCCACCACCAAGAGTCCTTATCTTTCGGACCAAAACTTTTTGACTCTCCCAAAACTTCTTTAGCAACTTTTTTTATCGTTTTAACCATATCCTCCCATAATATGTTAGCACTTTCCTGGAACCTCCAAATTCCTTTGGCCAAAAGATTCCTCTTGAAAATTTCCTGCTTCTCACCTTTTAATTGTCACCACCTAATCCTTGGATTTACCACTTTTTGGTGCTTTTGATTTTTACTCGTGATACACGCATCAAGGATAAGGACCTAATGTTATGTTGTTACGTCATCCCCGAGAATCACCTACAATTTTTACAAAGTCTTCTATTTGTATTCCTTGACAAAAAAAAGTCAATCTATGATGTTGTAACAAGTGTTTGATAATCTTGAAATCATACGCTAAAGAGAAATCAATAATAGATTGTCCTTTATTGTTTAGCTCCTTAAAACCAAAACCATTGTGCACCTATGCATAATTACTTGCCTTCCTCCCAACGTGACCATTAAAGTTTCCTCCAATAAAAATTATTTTACTTTGTGGTATGCGTTGAATCAACCCCTCGAAGTCTGCCCGAAACAATTCCTTAAGATCGGCCTTTACCCCGACTTGAGGTACATAAGCGCTAATAATATTGACAGTCTTACATCTAACGATCTGTTTTAAGGAAATAATTTTGTCCCCAATTCTGTTAACTTCTACCAATTTCTTCTTCCACTCCTCATAAATAATGATACTCACTCTATTTCGTATGCTTACTTTCCTTGTATAGTAAAGTTTGAAACTTTGAATATCTTTAGTTTATTCACTAGGCCATTTTGTCTCTTGTAGGCACAAGATATTAATTTTTCTATTAATCATAACTTCTATCACCTCCATAGATTTACAATTCAAGGTCCCAACATTCTAAGTACCAAATCTGCTCTTGTTCACATGAACTAACTTCTATAGCTGCACTTGTCTAGAATAATGTGATAGCCTTTGCTCATTTAATACTACATTCGGGTACTGATGCAATGTCTTTAACTTACTTGTCACTGCACTCGAGCTATACAGCGCGTTACTTACGGGCAACGACCTAGCATTAGCACAAAAATGTCTATTGTTCATATCTATGTGAGATTCAATAGAGTTTTATATTGATTGTTGAGGGCCTAACACAACCTTCTTCCTTTACCTAAGCTAGGAACTGGCTATAAACATAGGTAGAGTTTAAAAAGAATCAATTCAGTAAGAGTTAAATTTTTCTTTTGCAGTACAATATATATTAGGGTTATGGTTTCCATACTCAACTATTAGCTACACAATTTTTTTTTCTTGCAATTGCTTTTCTATTATATGGTTATTTCTTCCCCTCGATTGGTTTCGTGTGAACTTTACACTTCTAGGACATTGCTTGATCAGGCAAGTGACTAGTTTTGGATGTCTTCATCCTTATTGATACTGGCTTTCTTTCATTCATCATGTTCTATCCTTAATTTTTTTTTCAGCCAGGTTCCTGGCCCTCTTGGAATAACCTAATGATAGTGGCATTTCTGATGTTTTTCGGTTGGAACTATTGAATTTTTTTTTTTTTCACATTCTAACAGCTCCAACAAGATAGTTTTGGATTTTTTTTGGGACATTTCACTTGTTCATTTCAGTCCTTGGATTTTTTGGATATGTCACTTTCTATATGTAATAATAATAATATTTAACACCACCCATAGAAATAAAAGCCCCCTTCCATATAACCACTTCCAAGTGTTTTGAAACTTTTTTCCTCTTATTTTAATCAGTATGCGAAGTAGTTTTCTTATTGACTGTCCCAACATTTTGATTGATTTATTAGGTCTTCACTGCTAACGAGGCTCATTATCTTATCTTGTTGACTACAGTTGAGTAACTTGAGTTAATTATGTATGTTAATAGTATTTGTGGTTGAGTATGGAACATTTGTGGAGTTGAGACAAACTTCTTTTGGCATTTCCATTTTTATGTCTAGGAGCGCTGAATTGAAGCATGTCTCATTTCATTTCTCTTTGTTGTAATCATTTGGCATCCTAAGATGCTCTGCTATCAAGGTTTTCAAGGGAATCACTTTACAGAGATGGCGGGGCTTTACTATTATTGTGTGCTTTGTGAAGATACCTGTGGTTTTGCTCTTTTCTCTATGTTGTTTATAATCGGATCCCCCCCCCCCGGGGGGTCGATCGGTACCCCTTCCTGTTTGTTTTTATAATTTCTTCATACACAAAATAAGAGTGGAGGGAAGTAGGTAACTATGTAAGCTGTAGCATGAGCAATGGAATGCTGCTTATAGGGTCTTCAAGAGGCATTTTGTTGTCAGTGACTATTTCTTTTTTTTCTCATCAGGTGTAAGGAAGGAACGGGCAGCACTTGGAGCTATATTATTCTTGCTGGCATTTCTGTATGCCTTTTGGCGTATGGGAATTCACTTTCCAATGCCATCACCTGATAAGGGTACTGACTTATTCTTTCAGGACTATGTTTCTGCATCATCTCTCTCTTTCTTATTCCTTGTTGCAGCATCGTAAAAAGTTTGAAATATTGCTAGTAGATTTACATACTCTCATGCTCTGGGAGAATATTAATTATACTACCTGAATTAACTTATGTTGTGACTAATTTGGCTTTTAATATTTATTATGTATATCCTGGGAATTTTGGGTTTTTTTATTGGAGTTTTTGGATATTTCCTATTTTGGATTAATATTTTTTGAATCTATGCTGGTTGCTGATAGTTTTTAGTTGTTAGGTTTCTTCACTATGCCTCAACTGGTCAGTAGAATTGGGGTGATTGGTGTTACAGTTATGGCTGTTCTATCTGGTTTTGGTGCTGTGAACTTACCCTACAGTTATTTATCTCTTTTCATCAGGTAATTACTTAAATTTCTCATTTGGTCTTATAATTTATTCAGTAGTATCTCTTCTGTGAATATCCGGAGAAATATCTTTCTGATTTTTCTGTGTTTTGGAGGGCTTCTAGACCCAATCACATCTCATCATCATGATACATTTTAGATTTTAGAGGATATTTTGTGCTCTCTGTAATTATTACAAGTTCTCTCCATAAAAAAAAGAAATAGATTCACAGATTTGTGATGGTATTATGGTATTCTTAATTATTATACGTTCGTTTGCTTATTGATATTTCACATTTCTATTAATTAGAGAGATTGAGGAAGCAGAGATTAAAGGCTTGGAGAGACAACTGATGCAGTCAATTGAGACTTGTATTTCAAAGAAGAAAAAAATTATACTTTGTCAAATGGAGATGGAGAACAGCCAGGGACCTGAGGAGGTTTATATTTTCGGCTAGCACCATATTTCTATTGAGTCTTTTTTTGGTCAACTATTGAAGTTTTAGATGTTGCCTTTTCTCCTGCATTTTACTATTAATGTCTGTTTGAAAACCTTTGATAATTCCTTTTCTTTTAATGCTGTTTTTTGTCACTGATCTAGACTTATTTGTTGCAGAAGTTAAATGCCAGATCTTTTGTTAAACGTATAGTTGGCACCGTCATTCGATCTGTGCAGGAGGACCAAAAGGAGCAAGGTCAGTGTTTTTTACCCTCAGAATGGCCTTTTGAAGCTTTCCTCTTTTAAATCTATGTTATGGGAAACACAATATTTCATAGAATTACTAATGTTGACAGCTTGCGATTATGACCAAGTCATGATTTTCTTGGGGGAGGCAGGATTTAATAATGAGGAGGACCGAAATCAAAATTCAGAGTATAAAATTCATATAAATCCGTGTGGGGCGGGGGCTAGAAGTACATAATACCTATCAATAATGAGGAAAAAAAAAAAATCAAAAACTTGGGGGTCCGTTGCCCCACCAATCTCCCGCTCTCTCTACCCTTGGTTTTCATAACTTTAGTGCATAAGGTTTTTTTTTTTTTTTTTGAAATTCATATAATTGCCTTTCTTTTTAAATCTTATAATTACCTTTTTGCTGCCATGTACGGCTTAGAGGCCTACAATCATTTATAATACCCTATTCATTATTACATGATGATGCATCTCATGTTTAATTACCTGGCCCAATAAGGGTTAATTTTTTTTATATTCCTTTTTCTAGTGAGAATGGAAAAGGATCACCAAAAGCAAAATCCAACTCAAGACTGTCACAGGGAAAATTTCCCCCTTTTATAGTCCCTGTATTATGTGCTCCAAATAAATTGACTTTGGTGACAAAATCTTTTTTTTTTTTGGGGCTCTGTATTTAATAGGTTTGACATGAACATTATGTTGCCAGTTTGCAAGCTGCATAAGGTTTTGTCTCCTGACGTATGCTAGTGTGATATGTCTTTTTGTTGCAAAGACTGGCCCCATATGTTGTGGTATGACATGGCTGTGGTAGTTTTTTTTTTTTTTTTGGGGACAGTACTAGTGTTAAGATATGTTAGAATATATTGTATTTATTGTAGTTAGTTGGTGGTTGGAGGTTGAGCTAGGTGGGGGTTATTATTTGTGTAGATTTCTCTTGTATATATAGCCCTCTGTATCTATCCTTTTAACTTGAGAATGACGGCTCGTTTGGTTCACTGGAAATAAGCTTTAGGAAAAGGAAATGGAAAAGGAATCAATAAATTTCTTTGATTGGTGGTATGAAATTTAATGCTTAGGAATTGAAATTCAAGGAAGAGAGTAGAAATTTGGCTCCCACCTCAGACCAAAGGAAAATTATATTTTCCTAGGAAATTAATCTTTCTGACCAAAATTCCCTCTATGATTTTTCAAAATTCCAGGCTCTTCTCCATCATATCACAATCGCCTTTCAAGTCTCAAAATACCTTCAAGCTTCTTCTTCATCAGTAGCCATCTCTGATCAGCGTCGCACCTTCACTTGCTTCTAAGACATTTTGGGTTGATTTTAGCTTGTTTATTGACTAATCGCGGGCAATCCCTTGTATTTGTTGGTGACATTCATTTTGCTATTCTCTTTCCTCTCAACCCTTTGTTTCCTTTAGTACCTGAAGTTTTTGGTTAGTATTTGCTTCTTTCAGGATTGTCACCCTCAAGTCACTGAATTGGATCCCAGGTCTCTCATATGTGTCTTTTTTTGTATTCTCTCCTTCAAAAGGGATCCTAGTGTTTTTCTCCCTACTATTGACCACTACCCTGTCTCGGAAGACGCACGTTCTGTGAAAGTACCTTTTTCTTTATCACACCTTTTTTGTGTAAATATTAAGGGGAGGAAGATGATTTACTTGTATACACTATCACTCATGTTACTTATAGTAATCCTACGCCTGTTGCGGGCCCTACTTGGCCTCCAATAGTTCTTGTCTACGCTAGATGTTGAGGTTACACTACAACCATCAATAGAGACCCATGCTCTTCACTATTTCCTTTGTTGCTGGATCCAATTTTAGAGTTCTCTAACCGGTCTCTTGATCTTGTGATTGCCTTATTGAAAGACAAACACCAATGCACTTATCCTATTTTCTCATTAGTTTCTCAGGACAAGTTACCTCATTTTTCCAGCTCTTTCATTGCTTCACTGGACATTGCTTTTGTCTTTAAGACTGTTCATGAAGCTTTGTCTTATTTTTGTCTTTAAACCTGTTCATGAAGCTTTATCTTACACTAGTGGGCATGTTGCCATGGTGGAAGAGATGACATCCTTGGAATATAATGGCACTTGGAACTTAGTAGATATACATAGAGGTAACAGGCTGTTGGATGCAAATGGGTGTTTATTGCACAATTTAATCTTGATGGCACCATAGATTCTCTTGAAGCTTGTCTTGTTGTCCAAAGCTATGCTTCAACTTGTGGCGTTGACTACTTACACTTTTGGTTTAGTAGCCAAACTTTCTGTCGTTTGGCTCTCTATCTCTATGATGGCTATTTATGATTCACCCTTTCACCAATTGCATATCAAGAACGCCTTTTCACATGGTGATCTTCTTGAAGAGGTTTATATGGAGGAACCTCTTGGGTTTGTTGCTCTAGAGGAGCTTGGGAAAGTGTGTTGCCTGAGTAAATCAAAGATTGTCCTAATGACTCATAACTTACAACTTCCAAGAATGATGGCGAGCCATCTGAAGATTTCATGGAGTATATAAGAGTGGCAGGAAAATTAAGCTATCTTGCTGTGACTCATTATGATCTTGCATGCTCTATTAGGGTAGTTGGTCAATTCATATCTTCTCTAATTTGAGCACTCACAGGGCAGCTTTAGAATAAATCCTTCATTATCTGAAAGGAGCTCCTGGTTGTGGTATTGTATGGAAATCATGGGCACATGAGATTGAATGCCTTTTTTGTTGTAGATTGGGCAGGATATAAGGTTGATAAAAGTTCTACTATAGAGTATTGTGTTTTTTGTGGTTGGAAACTTAATATTGTGGTGAAGTAAAAAGCATTAAAGCAAAGTGAGTGTTGATTGAGTGTAGAAATGGAATTTAGGGATGGCACCCTTAGTTTGTGAAGTTGTGTAGATATATCAGTTGTTAAGTAAGGCTGGTCTTAAAACCTTATTACTTGAAAAGTTATGGTGTGACAAGCAAGTGGCTCTACAAATTGCCTCCAACCCTGTGTTTAATTAACGACACCAGCTTTCTTTGTTTGAGTGCTGGGCATTGAATGTCATTGGGTGCTATTTTCATTGCCATCCGTCTTTGAAGCATATTATATGCTACTGTTTCTTGGGTTCTTTTTGGTCTTTTCCTTTTCTTATGCATTTTCAAGCATTCGAGTACTCCTCTGCTATTGAACCAGGTCGTAACATTTTTCTGTGCTAATGGTGAGCCTGCACCCTGGAGCTTAATCTAGCCATACTGTTGTTTTTATACTCTGATTATTAGCTAAGAGTTCCTGATAGTCAATGTTGAGAAAAGAGAGATGCAATGTTTTCTAGAGACTAATGTACAAGAATCTTAAACACTTGTACGCCAATAAAATGAATTATATAAAAGATATTTTTAATCAACCATGCTTTCCTACAACCTGAGTTCTGCGATTTATGAGAGAGAAAAAGAAGCACTGCTTGCTAAATTTGTGGGACTAGCTCCCCACTGCATTAAAAAGCCACTTTCCATTACAACCTTGTTGTTGTAGCTTCTCCCACTGAGAAAGCCCCCTCCCTGGTCAGATTGAGGACGTGCTGCAATTGTTTCTTGGTCAGAGTCAAGAAGTGGCATAGCTGCTGCTTTTTGCCTCTCCCTTGAAATATGTTTCTTTCTTCTAGGATAGGTCCACAGTGGGGGTCTATCAGTTCCACTCTCTCTGTAAAAGTGGGAATTTTTTAGGATAGATTTTTGAATTATGAATATTTGATGTTTACTCGTTTCTTTTTAATTGGCTTTGTTCTTGTTGAGACATTTCCTTAAAGTGGTATATCTAATATATATTTACCCTGTGATTTCATATAATTTTGTAATGTGTGAAGATATCAAAGGCATGGAAGCAGAGGTACAAGCTTTGGAGGAGCTTTCAAAGCAATTGTTCTTGGAGATTTATGAGCTTCGCCAAGCGAAGGTTTGCTTTTTGGATTATACTTTTCTTCTCTCACTTTCAATTAGCACTTTAAAAGCATGTTTGTTATTGAAGTAGACAATTAATAGGGAGAGATTGAGAAACGCAGTCAGTGTGTGTACTGATCTGCAGTCTATCATATTTATAATGTATATACAACAATGAATAATAATGAGTAATGAGTAATGAGTAGGAATAAATACAATATCCTCCCTAATCGTATGCAGTAAATACAATATCTCTACTGATTCTCGCCACTTGTTAATTATGTTTGGATGTTAAGCTTTTAGTGCTTCTGTGCTTGTTTAGTTATTATTTGGGTTTTGATGAACCTACTGAGTTGCATCATTGATCCTCTAATTTCATGTTGCATTTTGGATGCATGAGGATTTGGATTTGACTAAATCCATATTTTATTATAATTTCTTTGTAATTTCAAATTTTCACTAGACATTATTTGAAATTTCGGTTGATTTCTTCATGTTTTTCATTATTAGTGGCTCTGTTACTCTTGCTTCTGCTCTCATTTTTCGTCGTCTTCTCTTATTGATTGAAAAATAGAGATAAGTTTGTCACTCTCAATTTTCCGTTTTTGCTTTGAATTTCAGCATGTCTCTTGTCTATTTTTAAAATCTTTTACACTATCCAAATAAGTGATTTTAAATGTGAGATTTTGAATCTAAAATTCAAATTCAAATGAATCAATTCAAACACTACTTCATTACTTTGGCAAAACAAAACTAAGGAGTTTTGCCTTTTAAAGGCTTTTCTTTCAAGAATGCTGGCTTCTTCAACTTTACACCTTTGGTCAGATCCAATTGAAAGAAATACTAGATTAGTTACAGTTGCATTCTTGGGTGATTTTTTTTTTGTGAAATCATTGTGGGTCCTGGGTATTGCAAGGAGTCTAAGGAATGATCTGTATTATTTATGCCACATGAATAGTATGGCTTGCTAGAGTTTTTATAATACATACAGATGTAGATGCCTTGATTTGATATGCGCTCTTGCAGCCTGCACCAAAACAATGCTTTACCCCTAGAGGTCCTGTCAGCTGCTGTGCTGTAGTGGAAATTTCCTGCAAAAGTTGTCACCTAGTTACTGTGGGGTATTGACTTGCGCTACCTCAGACAATGCTGAAATTCATATCAGTTGTACTACTTTATAGAACTAATGCTTCAACATCTGCTTTAACTACTTAAACTTTTATGCTTAATTGGCCTTGACACAGTTTAGAGCCTCTCCAACCAATTGGTCTGGAGGAGTTTTAATACTCACATCTCATTCTCGTATGAAATGAAATCCTGTCACAAGTAATCGCTTGCAACTACAGCATTGGTTGTGTCCTATAATTTAAAATTCCTTCTGCTCACCGCAAAAATATAAATCTTTGACTTTTAACCCATATCTATGTTTGTACTCTCTATAAGTGACCAATCTTGATTCTAGCCTTCTCTACTAGTGGTAAGAGAAAAAAATCAATCATGTTCTCTTCTTGTTCTTTCTTCTCTGTTTAGTCTTTTTTTTTTTGGTTCTTTCACTGTTTCTTTTGTGAGATCTTTTTGGCAAATCTAGTAGTTGTTATGGATATAATGCTATTTTTCCATCCTTTTTTTAATCTGTTTGATTTTGTTCTCCTCTCCATTTCTTCTATATTTCTGAGCTGTACTAGTTGGTGGAGATGACAAATTGTTATTATCACTATTATTTTGATGATGATGATGATTATCATTGCCGTTGTCATTGTTATCATCATTGTCATTATTATCAATATGTAGTATAAAACCTACATTAAGTTGCGCTTCATAAGTTATGAACAGTATGGCTCACTTTAATACTTTGTGCGCAGGAAAAATGTATCTAGTTACTATTATAACTGATATTGTTGCTGCCATTGTTAAATTCTCATCTAAGAACTTCAATCAATAATCTCACTTTTGTTATGTAAAAATGTAGAAAAGATTATTGTTGAAATCCTTAGACATCATTAACACCTATTTATACTAATAGGAGCCTCCTAACCAACCAGCCAACCATCTTAAACCCATTCCTAACTAGTTGCTAATCTCATATAACAATACTCTCCCCTTAATTGATCCTTGTCCTCAAGGATCATAACAAATTCAAGAATTTAGAGGTTTAGTTGGACAAATGGAAAATCTAGAAGTGGCAATCTTTAAGAAGAAAAAACGTTAGGCCTTTAAATGCATCAAAACTATTGGACCCTATTGTCCACTTTTCTACGTTACTTGTACAGGCTCCTTTCATTCCTTTCACCAACGTTCAAGAACCCCCCCCCAAAAAAAAAAAAAAACCTTTGCATCTAGTCCAACAATTGGGCCTTCTAATATTTGTGAGCTACTAGAACAACAAAGGACCTCTTCGCTTCAATGATGTAAAAGGCGCTCGCCTCAGCGCCTAAGGCGCCTGGGCGAGGCGCTGAACTTGGCCATCGCCTCTCAAGTGAAGAGAGGCGATGGGTTTCATCAGGCGCTCGCCTTTGAGCGCCTTGTGCGCCTCGCATATCCTAAAGGCGCACGACTGTCAGCGCCTGGCAGCAGTGAAGATGAGAAGATTAGAAGAGAAGACAAAGACGTAAGATTTCAGAAGAGAAGACGATATAGGAAGATGAAGGAGTGAAGAGTGCTGACTGGGTGTGAAAGAACCGAAAAGAAGAGTAGGAGTTGGTTCTTGTTCGGCTGCCGGTGTCGACTGGGTATGCAAGAATCAGAGACGAGAACTCGTCTGCACTCCATCGACTGTATCTCCACCGAAAAGAAGAGCAGGAGTTGGGTACGACCGTATCGTGCGAGTATGCTAGCTGGCCATAAGTTCAGCATCGTGGACTGAATATCATCCATTAGAATATAATTTTTTTTAACCAAAATCCATTAAAATATGATAAAAAAATATAGTAAATAATTATAAAAAATTTAACAAATCCTATCCTATCTTGTGAGAGAAACATATAACATATAATAAATTAGGGAAGATTTGAATTTTAAATAAAAGATAATGAAAAATATTATATATAGAAAAAGATTTTAATTAATTATAAAAAATTATCTTTGATTTAAATTTTAAATATGATTGAGATAATTATAAAAGATTTAACAAATCCTATCCTATCTTGTGGGAGAAACATATAACATATAATAAATTAGGGAAGATTTGAATTTTAAATAAAAGATAATGAAAAATATTATATATAGAAAAAGATTTTAATTAATTATAAGAAATTATCTTTGATTTAAATTTTAAATATGATTGAGAAAATTTTGCTATTTGAAGGAAAATTTTTAGGAAAGTTTAAGACTTTAAAATCCCTCCCAATGTATATTTTTTAAGATATAAAAAGAAAACCTATTACTGTTCTTTGGTATTGGCATCAGTGTGTCTCGAGGCTTAGAGCAAGTGAGCAATATCTCCAAGGATCACGTCTTGCACGTCTTGCACATCTTGCACTCTAACAATCAGGTTCTAACTTCTAAGTTTCAAAGTTCAAACATCATATTATTTTCTATTTTTCTTATTTGATTTGCTTGATTTTAGGCCTTTAGCACTACAACACACAGAACAATTATTCAAAAAACAAACCTTTAATTTTTCACTCTCTTTTTTGGTTTTTCCTGGTATTTTTCCCCAGTTTTTAGTGCTTCCATGGCTGAAAGTAGTGGTCAAGTTCAAAACAAGCAACAAGAACAGAATAAGAGAAAAGACCCTGGATGGAAATATAATTTCTTGAGTGACCCAAATGACACCAATACTATAACTTGTTCCTTTTGTAACAAATCTACAAAAGGAGGGATTCATAGAGCTAAGTTGCATCAAGTTGGAGGTAATAGGAATGCTGCTAAATGTTTGAAGTGTCTTTGATAATGTGAGGAAAGAGTTGCAAGATTACATGGACAAAAAAAAGGTAGAAAAAGAGACATATGATAATCCAATTATAAATGTTGTGGATATAAGTATGCATGGTGAAGAAGAGGAGGAGGAGGAGGAGTTGTATGGAAAGAAAGGAAAAAATGTTATGCTTACATCAAAGAAGCCTAGACAAAAAGGTCCCATGGATTCTTTTATGAGGAAACCAGAGCAAGTTATTCAATTACGAAAACAAGGAAAGTTGCGAGATGGAAATATAATTGATAAATTTGATAAGGAGAGAAGAGCTATGGTTTGTCAATACATTGGTCGATTTTTCTACCAAGCTGGCATTCCATTTAATGTTGCTAACATGGATTCCTTTAAAATTATGATTGAAGCTATTGGACAATATGGTCCAAATCTAAAACCCCCAAGTTACTATGAGTTGAGGGTGCCAATTTTGAAGAAAGAAGTTGAACTTACAAATGATATGATGAAAAATCATAGAGATATGTGGAAAAGAAAAGGCTGTTCCATTATGCTTGATGGGTGGACTAGCCGAACAAATAGAAGCTTGATAAATTTTTTAGTGAATTGCCCAGTTGGCACAATGTTTATAAAATCTGTTGATGCATCATCATATGTTAAAACAGCAGAAAGATTGTTCAATTTGATTGATGATTTTGTTGACCATGTTGGGGAAGAGAATATTGTTCAAATAGTGGCGGATAATGGGTCTAACTTTAAAGCTGCTGGTAAATTATTAGAAATGAAAAGGTTGAATCTTTTTTGGACATCATGTGTAGCACATTGTGTAGATCTTATATTAGAAGACATTGGAAAAATTTCTAGGGTATCAAAGACTTTGGCAAGAGCAATCAATTTGACAGGGTATATATATAACCACGTAGGACTTCTAAATATGATGAGAGAGTTCACTAAGCAAAAGGAGTTGGTGAGGCCTGGCAAAACTAGATTCTGCACTTCATATCTTACTCTTAAAAGCTTCAGTAATGAATGGCTACTTGGTAGTATGATGGATGTCGATGAGGACGCAGCAGATGAGCGTGTTTTTGGTGATGATGAGAATGAAGAGTTAACATGGGGGGCTGTTGCATCAGCAGCAGGTGTTGGAGAACCAATTAAACAAACAAGAAGCCAAAGCCAAGCTAAAGGAAAAAAAGCTAGCTCATCTAGAGCTAAAGGAAAACAACCGATTACCAACATTGAGGAACTTGCAAATTTTGATTCAGATGAGTTAGAGGAAGACGATGAAAGATATAAATCCAACAATGAAGGAGGAGAAAGTCCTGAGCTTGCCACATCTGAATCTGATTCAGATTTCTAGTTTGATTTTTTTATAGGCCTCAATATTGTTTTTTCATATTTTAAAGACATTTTATGCACTTGATTGATTATTGGAATAGTTTATATTATTTTGTTGTAATTTTGTAGAAGTTTATGATTGAAGTAGATTTATATTTATCACTTTATCTATGGTTTGTTGTCTATAATCTATGTATTATGCATTTTATCTATAGTAGCGCCTTGCTTCACTCAGGCGTGCGCCTTTATAGCGCCTTGCGCCTAAGGCGTTTTACCAACTTTGCGCCTTGAGTGCGCCTTTCGCCTTTAACAACACTGCTTCGCTTTATTGAATTTGATGGTGCCTAATTTACTAGGCTGGTTCCATCTGCCACAATGTCTTGGCTGGTTTCATATGCCAGTGTCCTGGCCCGCCTTCTTGATGTACACAGCTTTTACTATCTTCTATGTTGAGTCTGAGACAATGAAAAGCAATAGTTTGGCCCTCTACAAGTACAAAACATCCTAGATGATACTTTTGACTATAGTTAGCTTTATGCCTTGCTTCCTTGTTGAGCCAGTTGTCTTTTCCTCTATCCCAAGGCCACTTTGAGGTTGCCTAATGTGATGGTTGGTAATCTGGTCATGAATATTAGGAACAACAACAACAAGCCTTATTCCATCAAGTGGGGTTACTTTCATGGATTGTACGATGCAATTGTGCTTTATCCGCAGCTAAGCCTCTGGAAATATTCATTTAAATATTAAGAAAAAGGCAAGAAATGAGGGGCAACGTTCAATACCTCCTTGAAAAAGCAGTAGCAGTGAACTTCCAGAATGATCTCTTTGCATGCTGGCCTCTCTTTTGCATCTGTTTTCCCACTTTTGTAAAGCTGTGCAGGTTCCTCTTGATTGAAAAAGTGCCACGAGCCGCCTAGTAGGTGTTAAGGGTGTGGATGGGATGCGTAAAGAGGTCTAGGGTCCTAATTCTCTTAATGTAACCCAAAAAGATAAAAAGGGAAGAAAGCAAAAGTGTCATTTCTTTAGAGCTTCAATAGCCATCCTTCATTTTCTCCATCACCTTGGTGCTTGAGGATGAGGAATCTAGCCTCATGTAAGTGCCCTATCAAGTAATAGCTTCCCTGACTCAGTTTTGTAATGAAAACTGACGATCATAACTCAATTAGAGGATTGGCTTGACCTTGCAATGATTGTCTTGGATTTGACTGGAAACTAGACAGTATCCATTGTGCATGGTGTGAAGTGGCTTGCTAGCTTGAAGCTTTGGTGGTCTCCCATCATTCCCTTCAAAATTTGCTGGTTTGCTAGCATTCAAAAGACCCTCGAAGAAGCAGCAATAGAGGAAACCTAATATCATTTTTGGCTGTTCACTGATTCAAAACTATGATGGTTTTCTGTTGATGTTGGCCCTGCTTGAGTTGAAGCTTTGTTGTTGAAGGTTTGGCCTTAAGGTGACTTGTGGAAGTTTTTGATTCATGTTGTAGAACTAGTGCTAGCTGAAATGCCCAAACTTCCTGTAAACACTGCTACTTGGTGGTTTGATAGCTATTGAAGAGCAATTCGATGCAACTTCAAGAACATTGTCACTGAGGCTTAGGTTGGCTTGATGTGATGACAAGCTTGTTTGTGGCCTTTGTTAGGTTCCTTTTGGTTGAAATTTTCTTTATCACCTTTCAAGTTCATTTTCAAATTCTCCAAGCTCTTGAGGAATCATGTCTTCTTACCTTCCTTGGGTTCTCCTTCATTCACATGTTCTCTATCTCCTTCACTAAAGTTAGAATTGTGTAGGCCTTGTTACCAGCTTTGACCTCGTAGCTTCCTACAAAAGCAATAGATATAGCAATTGGAGTGATTGGAAAGTATTCCTTGCAATCAGAATGATATTTGATCTCATTTTTCTTTGTTGCACTCTCTATCTCCTTAATCATCATCTTCTGTCTTTGTCTCTGTAATCACATTGTTTTCCTTCCCCTCTTTAAGGCAAATCTCTGTATTCTACTCATTTCTTCCTTCTCACTATTTATTATGTTGCTTCTTAACTGACTAATCATCTTAACCATTCCCAACTAATTACTAATTTCCATGTAACAAATTCAAATTTCAATTTATTCAAGATGAGTTGGGCCCATTTATCATGGCCCATAACAATGATAGCTTACCCTGTTTAGTTTCTGATTATGTTTACTTTTTTTTTCCCATTTATTTCCAAATATGATAGGGTATTAATTACAATAATTTTGCTGATTTTATTCTGATTGTAATATGAGATTTGGTGCAATACTAGGTTACTTAATTCTCTATTTATTTTGTAAACCCTATGGCTAAATACAACAAAAACAAGCCTTATTTCACTAAATAGGGTTATCTACATGGTTTGTACGACCTCATTGTGCTCCATCAACAACCAAAAATTTGAATATATTGTTAACCAAAAAGTCTTATCGAATAACTTTATTGAGTGTTTTCTTTGGTCTTTCTCTATCCTTTTCATAGGACTCAAGGCCATCTACTTCATTCTCTATACTTGCACTTTCAATGACTTTCTTTGTACATGTCCAAATTATTCTAAACGATTTTTACCATTTTATCTTTAATAGATGCCATCGCAATTCTTTCTCATATGTGATTATTATGAATCTTATCTTTTCTTGTATGCCCACACATTCATCTTTACATCTTTATCTTTGCTACTCTAACTTTATGTTATTTGTCTTTTTAAAGCGTAACATTCAATACCATAAATTTAAATCCTACAGCTGAATAATAGAACATTTTTCTGCATCTTCCTCACAATTTCATTCCAATTTCCGAATGAATTTAAAACTAATCCTACTGGGAACTTAGGTGTCTTGTCACTTAAATGATTAAGATCATATCAGTAATAGGAATGCTTGGTTTGGAGATTTTGTTGTAGTTATAATTGGTGTTATTATGAGGGACAATTCATTGTTTAAGGGCATATAAATGCTACATAATGTGAATCATGACTTCAACATCTTAGAGAACAAATTACATAGTATGTTTGATAAGTTCCAATATCAAATGAATTTGGAATCATGAAGTCCTATAACTTTGACATGCTAACCATTTATGAGGTTGATATTATGCTTTAAATTTGATACATTTTTAATTTAATGATTGTTGGAGTTATTATGAGTGGAATTTTCAGACACATATAAAGTTGTTATATCTGTGCATTGTTATGTATTTAGCAGTTTAATGCTGGTATGCAGCAAAAATGGCTTCTGGTTATGTGACAATGTTCCAGGCTGCATTGATAACTATGACCTTGTGAGAAATTCTCGTAAAACCATTTTGGGTCCTGTACATTATGGATTGGGTTGAATTGGTTCTCGACAATGCAGTCAATTCATATAGATTTATTTGACGTGGATATTTGAAGTAATTCTATTCTCCAGTTAATTGAATGTTTCATGTGGCTGAGCATTGATAAACTTATATTTCATGCTCAAGTCTGCTTAATAGGAAAATTTGTCATTTTGCAGGAAGCTGCTGCTTATTCTCGAACTTGGAGGGGGCACATGCAGAATCTACTTGGTTATGTTTGTTCCATCTATTGTGTGTATAAAATGATCAAGGTATAGTGACATTGGATGGTGAGAATAATTTTTATCTATTGACTAACTTTAGGTTTCTTGGAGTGAGTGGCGGTTGGTAATTGGTTGATATTGGTAAGTTAGGGCATGGATGGTTTGAGAGCAATAGGGTGCGATTTGATGGGTTAAGTTAGGTAGTAATTTGTTGATAGTACTTGCATAACTTGCCATTCATGTGAAAGAAAGCATTGTGTCCTTTTAATTAGACATCTTGTAGCTTATTCCCTAAGGTTTTGGATAATTTCCTAATCATAGTAAGATTGAGACTCTCTGATGGTATTAATTCTACAAGATGTCAAGTGTTAGGATAAGACCCACTCATTGCTAAATAACATGAGTTAAAGCCCTAATAAACTTTATGACTCGTGATACGACGATGATGACAACAAGTCTTGTCCCATTAGTTGGAGTTGGTTACGTAGATTGTAAGACATCATTATACTCTATTAACAACTAATTCTTTGGATATATTATTAATCAAAAGGTTTTGTTCAATAATTTCATTGAGTGTTCTCTTTGGTTTTTCACTACCTCTCTTTGCAAAACTCAAAAGTTGTCTCTTCCACTCTTCTTATCGGCACCTCCAACAGCCTTCTTTATACATGTCCAAACCATCTTAAAGGATTTTCAAGCATTTTCTCCTCAATATATGACATGCCAACTTTTCTTCATGCATGTTCATTACAAATCTTATGTCTTCTATGCCCACACATCCATCTTAACATCCTTATCTCTACTATCCCAACTTTATGTTTTTGTTGTCATTTCAAGGCCCAACATTCACTATCATATAGCATTGTTGGTCTTATAGTAGTTTGATAAAATTTCCCTTGGCTTAGTAGGTATTAAACTGTTAGGAAAGAGTTCCTCTGCTAAGTGGTATTGATGATCTAGAAAAGATTGACAAAAGATGGCTAAGCATCTGGTTTTATCAAAGTGCTTTCTGTTGGTAAAATCTATCTGGTGATGATAATAATGATTGTAGTTTGATGATTTTTCTTCAGACTTGATATACTTCTTTTTTCTCTTTCATTGTAGTTCGCATTGACTTGGCTAATTGATTGAATCTTTTTTGCAGTCATTGCAAAGTGTTGTTTTCAAACAGGTATCTTTTTTCCCTCAATAAATCCTTAGATTTAACTTTCAATTGGATGTAGTTAAGATTCCCTAATTGGCGTCTTTATTTTGCAATAATCTTATTCAATGGCAGGATGGTTCTGTTGATCCTGTAACAAGGACAATTAGTATTTTCTTACAGTTCTTTGACATTGGAATCAATGCTGCCTTATTATCACAGGTTAGAGTCCTGTTGCATGCCATACTTTGTAGTTTTTCTGGCATCAGTAAGTGGTCTTCTTCTCAATCTGACTCTGACACCTAATGCATGATTACATTAAGGATAAAATCTGGTCATTTTTGTTTTATAAAATATCATAAAGCATCTATGGAAAGTCATATTAAGATAAGGGTCTGGTAGTTCTAGTGAACCACTTTGTTGTAGTTTTTGAGCTTTCTTTTATGCAGTGTTCACTATCAATATTTTTGCATTGAGATCCCTGGCGATATGTTAAATGATGAGGCAGGTTTGCTTTTCAAACTTTTAATTGACGTAGCAGACCTCTTGGATGACTATGAAATTCACAAATCAGAATGATGCTTGATATGGATACTACTATAACAGTTTCACTAGTAAGAATGCTTAATTTTCAAATAAAAAATTTTACTATTTACTTTTGTTTCATAAGTTGTTTAACCATGTGCCATTTCTTAAGTCTATCATTTGAATCAATGATTTGGAAACTGGACCGGATGGTCCGATTGGTTAAACCACTAGTTGATTCATGTTTTAGCTCGATTTGAACCACAAAATTGTTTTAGCTTTTGTACCAGTGGTGAGACCGAGAACCGTTAAAAAACTGCAAACCAGAGCAGTTTTGTGAAAACTAGATGGCTCAATTTTTTTTTTTTTTTTTTGACTTTGTTCTAATTTTAACCTTGAAAAAGACCTCTCACTTTTCAAACACTGAGAAGGTGAAAGCAAATTTGGTTTATCCACTTTGTTCCAATTTTAACCTTGTATCAAAATAATACCTTTGTTTTCATTTTTTTTGGGACACCTTTTTTGATAAATCATTTTCATTCTTTTTATATGTCTTAATCTGAATAAACATTCAGGTCAAAAAAAATCTAAATTAGTATAGGGATATTTGTTGTGAGTGTTGGTACTGAATCATTTGATATTATGTTGTGTCATGAGACTTATTAAGTCACAATTAACTTGGAATATTTAGCTTTATTTTCAAGTTATGTAGCAATTTTATATTTATTTCTTATATTTATATTATATATATAATTTTTTTTGGTAATATATATATAATAATTTTGAGAAAATATAACTTTGGGTCCTTGCAATTTTTTTTTTTTGGTGTTCTAGATTTTTAAATAAAAAAATGTAGGGACCTAAAACACAAAAAAAAAAGTATAGGGACTTATAACAAAACACGAGCAAGTGCAGGGAGCCAAAGTTATGTGCTCCCAATATTTTTTTTAATTTAATTATTGTGTCATTAGTTTGACCCATGCGAACTGTGAATTACTAGCATCTACGGTTCAATGTTCAGTCCGGTTTTGAAAATATTGATTTGAATGTTGTCAAGGAATTCATTCTAGTATCATCTCATAAGTGACTTAGTGTATCGTTGGGTTTGTGTCAAAATTTAGGAGAAAAAATGTATTTCTTATTCATGTTGAATAGTATGGTATAAATGGGTATTTGTACCTCAAGATGGAAAACTAAAGAGACAATGACTAATAAATCCTAATAAATAGAAAAGAATACTTTCAATAATTACAATATCTACACTCCCCTCAAGTTGGCTCATAAATGCTAATCATGTCCAACTTGATTATGCTCCTATCAAAGGTAGGCTTAAGTAACCCCTTAGTCAATACATCTATAGCTTGAAGATTGGTAGGCAAATAAATCAAATGTGATTCCTTCTTGTACTTTTTCTCTGATAAAATGTCTATCCCACTTTCACATGTTTGGATCTTTCATGTTGAACAGGATTTAAGGGCATGCTTATTGCTGCCATATTGTTACCATAGAGTTTTAGTGGTAAGTCCGCTTTGACATGCATCTCTTCTAAGACTTGTTTTATCCACAGCTGTTCCATTATTCCTTGAGCCAATGCTCTTAATTTGGACTCATCACTGCTCTTAGACACAACAGTTTGCTTTTGATTCTTCCATGGAACCAAATTTCCCCACACAAAGGAACAATAACTAGAGATTGATCTTCTAGCAAGATGAGTTTCTCCCCAATTTGCATCTGTTTATACCACTATGGTTCTTCGTTCTTATTTTAAGAAGAATAATCCTCCACAAGGAGTACTTTTTAGGTACCTCAAGATCTTATAGGTTGCTTCCTAATGCTTCTTTTGCTTGGACATGTATTGGCTAGCTACACTCATTGCAAAAGCTATATCTTGCCTGTCTTGTATAGGAGAGATAAATCAATTCCTCCACGAGTCTCTTATATCTTTCTTTGTCATCAACCTCTTTTTTCTCAATGTCTTCCTTTATTGCTTCAAGCTCATTATTAGAATAGTCTTCAACTCTTCTTGACTATTCTTCTTACGCTTCCTTTTCTTCTTCGAAACGACAATAGGAGTTTCAACAAACCTACAACCTAACATGCTTGTTTCCTTTATAAGGTCAAGTACATACTTCCTCAGAGATACATAGATACCTTGCTTTGACCTTGCAACTTCCATTTCCAAAAAATATGTCAAATCCTTGAGATCGTTGGCTTCAAATTCTTTCTTGAAAGCGTCTTTGCTCTTGTTATCCTCAATATGGTCTCATGTAAGAATTATTTCATCAACATGCACAATAAGGATGCACCTCTTACCTCTTTCAATTTGAACCTATGAAGCACCAATACGGGTACCAATACGTGGATACAGCAATTTTTAAAAATTTTAGGATACGGGTACGACTATATAAATAATTAAATATTAAATATTTATATACATATATATAAATAATTAAATAATTAAGCAATATCAAGTGACAAAAAATAATAATAAACTTAAATTAATAAATATTGTAACTGTAAACAAAAAATTAAAATAAATAAATAAAAATTATCTAAATTTAAGCTTTGCTATTATTGTAACTGTAAAGACTACATAAGGAAGCTAAATTTGTCTTTAAAAAATAGGATCATGAAAAACGAAAAAATTAAAGTTAATGAAAAGGGAAAACCAACATTTTTTTTGGTTAATAGCTCTCCTATAGATCACTCTTTCCCCATAATAACAAAGAACAGCAGCCAAGATCATGACCTCTCTAAGTGGCGACTGAAGAGGAGAGACAAAGAGCAACACAATGATCGAGGAAGACACCGAAACAGTGACTGAGGAGGCGGAGTCAGAGAGCGACAGTGGCTCGGAGAGACAGAGCGACAGAGGAGAGTATTACCTTGCTCGAGCTGGAGGGAGAAGGAGGGAAGGACGATGGTCGGCTGCAGTGGAGGGTCGCTGGGTCAGAGCAGAATGACGCGAATCAGGCGAAGGACTTGGGAATGAAAGGGATCAGTTGGCGTTCGTGAAGTAGGGCATCTAGGGGAAAAAAAATGCCCGAAACCAGCTACGTTTCACATCCTACCCGCGTCGACCTGTGTCCACCAGCAACCGCCCGTGTCTGCTCGTTTTAAAAAAAAAGGAGACACGCCGCATCCGCATACAGGACGAATATCCGTGTTGGATACATATCCGACACGGACACGGCGTTGATTTTGGCGTGTCCGTGCTTCAGAGGTTTGAACTGACATCGTATGGTTTGAGAATCCTTGTTTTTAGCCTTCCAGTGTCATGATTCTCAAGAACCTTTCAATCAATGCCCTAGGAAATTGCTTGAAGCCATGTAGAGATTTCTTCAACCTGCACACTTGATCACTCCTATCTTTATCAAACTCTGGAGGTAAAGTCCTATATACTTCTTCTTATAGTACTGGCTCTGATAGTTCTTAGTGGTAATGTATCTGTTGGTGTGAACTATGAATAGAGTAGCACTCATTCTTTATTAGTTTCTTGTTCCCAAGTCTAAGATTTACCTATACTCACCTTTTAGAATTGAAGAATTAGCGTAGAAAGGAGTATCTTCATGAAAGATAACATCAAGGCTTACAAATGTGTTTGGAAAGAGGGTCAAAGCATTTGCATTCCTTTGGAGTAGGTGAATAGCCAAGAAATATTCATTTGGTAGCACGAGGTTCAAGTTTATTGCTTTAGTGGATATAACACATGAAGAGGAAGATTGGTTTCAATATGGGGTGTGGGAAAAACGCTTTGTAAGTGACTTGAATGGGCATTTGTTTGATGAGGTAGGTTGCAGTCAAAATTGTATCTCCCCAATGAAACTTAGGGAGATTGCAAGTGAATAAGAGTGTTCTAGTAACTTCAAGGATATGTCTTTTTTTCCTTCCTACAACCCAATTTTGTTAGTGTTATAATTAGGGCAGAACAATGTTGATATTTTATTCATAAGAAGTGTTTACGTATGTAGAAGAGATGAGAGGAAGAGAATCTACACAAATCACTAACATCTCTCCTATAATCTTGGCAAATCAAATCAAATGCTAATAAGAGATAAAATCAGATATTAATAACAGATAGCAGATCTTATTTAAATAAGGAAAAATAGGTCTAATCTTGATATGGGCATATGGCACTTAGGCCCTTATCTAACACTCTCTCAAGCTGGCGAATAGATGTTAATCATTCTTAGCTTGCTTTTGAGTCCTTCAAATTTGTAAGGGTAAATATATAAATCTACCATTAAAGTTTTACATAGACGCACCTCATATCCTCAAGTTTTTTTTTAGTGTAATGCCACCTTAAAATTTTTCAATTTAGTACCATGTTGCCTCACCATCAATATTGACCTTTGACTTATTGATTTTGCCCCTCCTTCTTAACTTTGATTGAGTTTGGAAGCAGTTTAGGCCACCTAAGCCTAAATTAAGAAAATCAATTGTGAAGGCCTTTTTCAATACCATCCATTACAATAGATGCACCTATGTCATGGCTAATGGTGTAAAACTTTTAAAAGACGAGATGCAGCTCAGGCTTGAATCAGGAAAGAAAAGGGTAAGAGAAACAGAAGAGGGGTAACAGGGTGAAAACTTGGGTCTACTAGGGAAAGCTCTTGAGGCCATTTTAAAAAGGTTTAAGCTCCCACACTCAAGGTAAACATCTTCCCTCACCTTTCCCTCTTCCTCTATGTAGTTTT